AATTTTCACTTTACTGTGCAAATGCTTCTTTTACAAGAAACTCAAAATATATTTCCAGCTCTAGGTTTGGGATGGACGATATTTATTGATCATAAAATTTCAAAGATAAAATACACATAAACCTGGACTAGAAATTGATATTTTAGAATCAAACCGAAGTGAATAGAAATTGATATTTCAGATTTTGTTGGATATCCATCTCTTTGAGTCAATGCTTAAAGAATCTACCTTCCCGTTGGTAGTAATGCTTAAATATCAATCAATACACGGTTTGTACTCTAATTTGCATTACAGTTCATTAAAATGAGAGGTGCTAGGATAGTGAGATAAGATTTGGTTGCCTAACTCGGAGACCAAGTAGGAAACAATAATAATCTGATTGATGTGACTTTCTTGACCAACCAGCTATTTTATGACGCATATGAGCTTTATTGCACTGCATTGACAAAACTATCTTCAAGTAGTCTAGAATCCATTGTCAAATAAGTTAATAGTGAAAATGACATTGTGTTTACATCTCTACTTATAAATTTGTTGCATGCTTGTCACTGGTTTATCTCCTTAGACTAACTATTTTCTTTTTTTTTGTGATAGACATCAGGTGCTGCTAGTTATTCCAAGTTTGTGAGCCGCGAGATGAGCAAAGCTGAGGCCCTTTTGAAGGTTTGTTGTGCGTTTATTAGTAAAATGTTATTATGTAAAAATAATTGTGTTTGGGTTATAGCTTATTTGGTGTTAAGACATCTAAAGGAGTTTATTAATAGAAAAATACTTCAACCTAAAACTCAATCAAAGCCAACAGTGAAATTAATTCCTTCTGACAAATTTGTATGAATGTCCGTGATCAGGTTATACTTTCTCCAGTTGATTCTGTAGCAGATACTTATCGTGCATTGCTACCTGAGGGTACACCCATGGAATTCCAACGCATCCTGGAGCTTAAGGTTATAATTAGCTTGTTCTATCGAAATCTCTGGTTGATTGATTGCTGGTTTTTGCATTATTTCTTTGTTCTAGACCTCTGTTTATGGAGATGAGGTCTGCCAAGGCTGCTCGTATAGAATATAGGAAATAAATTTATGATTATGTTCACGACTGATTCATTGTCAATTAATTATAGGAAATAAATTATTCAGTTCATTGTCAATGAGGCTTATTAATTCTAGCTGAACAGTCATAAGCAAATGTCATCCTCTAAGGATAGTAGCAGCAATGTTACATGGAAAATTTGAGAAGCTAACAAAGAAGCACTTAGAAGACTCAATTGGTGAAAATTAGTAATTTATCAAATCTGTCATTGGAGCAGATCAAGGATCTGTAATTCAATGGACATTAAATCTAAGGAAAGTAGTGCTATATTGCAAACTTGAGGAGCTTGCATGGAAACACTTGGAATATGTTCAAAATTATATGAAGGTACTGATATAATTGCTGAAGAATCGGACTGATGAGGAGCATGCATTGCATAAATTCAACTGAAAATATGTACAAAATAAACCAATATTTCAATTAACTATATTAGTTAATATTCAGTAATGGTTCATGCTTTGCTTATGGATTCTATCACATGAGGCAAATCATTTGGTTTTTCAGATCCAACTGAATGTATGATTTGTAATGTGTGGATGATTTGAGTTGTGTTTTCAGGGTCTGAAAAAAGCTGATCAACAAAGCATTCTTGATGACTTCAACAAACTTGGGCCTGGAATTAAGCAAACTCAGGTTGCACCTACAATTGTTCCAGCTGCTCCTCCAGTAGCTCCTGTAGTACCTAGCCCCTCTGCGGTTGGACTCATAGCATCGAGAGAGGATGTTCTAACTAGAGCTGCTGCACTTGGACGAGGAGCTGCCACCACTGGGTTCAAGCGGTTCCTAGCTCTAACAGAAGCTGCCAAAGACCGGAAAGATGGTCCTTTCAGAAAGCTCTTTAATCCATGATCAAGAGAGTGCTACAACCCCAATTTTTTGGCCGGTACCCTAAGCCTTTAGTGTTTTTTTTCTTCTCTTTCATTCTTTATGTAAGTTTAATATCATGTTCATCTCATTTCACTTGAACAACTGAAAGCTGATAATAAAGAGATCTGTCTACAAATTTGTATCATTTTTTCTGTAGCTCGTAAATGATTCTTCTTATCTGTTGCTTGTTACTGCCCCGATTACTTACTGTTCACACTATCATGGGCTGTTAAAATTGTCATGTCTGTTTGCTCCATTGTGAGACTGTTGAATTTTGTGTGATTGATCTTGAGATTTTTTCTAGAGCCTTGTGGACGATGTTGGGCTAAGAGGACAATGGAATACACCTGTTAGTAAATGAAATGTTAATCATGTAAACTGTGTTTTTTGAAATTAACTGAGACATTAGAAAAAAATCACAAGTTTTTAACTTAAGTCATACACTACTTCTATAAAATCAAATCAAATTTAGTTTTTAAAAAATCAATATAATCGAACACATCAAATAATTTATTTTCAATCAGATAAACTAATCAACTAGCCTATAAATTAATCACTTAAAAAAGGCTATAAAATACATATCGAATACATTACATATTACGTATTTAATGAATTTGTAGTAAAATATGATAATAAAATTTGAAAAACAATAACTTGATTTGATAAAATTTGTAAATAGTAATAGTTAAAGTAATAAGATAAAGCATCAAATAAATTTTGTTTTAGGTTGAAGTGCAACTTTACTGGATCAATAGCATAAATCTGGAGAGCTGGCCGCAAATTAATCTGCTAGATAAGAAAAGAAGCGACATAGAAAAGTCAAAAGTCCAAAGTCAATACCTTCTGACATAACCTATATTAACCTTCTAGATGTGGAAGATAAAGACGGAATCTGCAATCTCTTGTTATTTTGTATCATGTCTTTGATTTTTGTTGAATTAAAATCCTACTTACAAATACGTCACAAGTTTCCACGCGCTTTGTTATATTTCAGATCTATCGCCTATGCTCGCCTTACCTACATACCACGGAACTCACCCAACAGTTTAGCGCGTGACCTCGTTGACCGTTTGATGATGGCTCCAAATATTTTAAGCTCACAATATTTAAAGTCTATGTTTTACAAAGTCATCAAATTTTCATTTTAACTATTCAGGTGAGATATTTGATTCTCTAATAAAATAGGTTAAACCTATTTCAAATTAATTTATTTTAAAATATTTTGATTTATAAGTTAAGAATTATTTTCACTAGTTTGTAATTTTGTAGTCTACATTATTTTCCTATTCTGATACATTTTCCATCATTATTATTTTTATCTATTATTACACATAGTTATATATAATAAATGTTGTAAAAAATTCAACATAATAAAAAAATTAAAATTTTGGAAATACATAAAAATTAAAATTTATTAATACTTATTTGATCTACGAAATTAAATAAAATAAATTATTGAAAATAAATCATATGTTATTTTCAACAAATGAATAAAAACACTAAAAGAATATTTATAATTTAATTATATTTTAAAATATAAAACTATAATTACATGATAATATATTTTATCTAGAAAACACAATTGCATTTTTTTATCCCACTTTGTATTTATTAACTATTTTTACTGCATTTTATACTTTAATAAACTAATTTAGCAATTAAAAAGTTTTAAGTTAACAATTCATTAACTAAAAAATAATTTTTCTGTTACAAACTAGTATATCACCTACGAACTATTTTTATAGATATTTTCTAATTTATTTTAAAATTCAAATCCAACGTTCTATTTTAAATCAAAGTTACTCTAGTTGTTACCCACTTCCTTGGGTTTTATCAACAAAAATAGTGAAAGAGACCGAATAACTAATAAATAAACAACTTCTTAGAACTTTGGCTCCAAATACACCGAATCAATAGCTATTTAGGTTTTCTTTTTTTTTGGGAGTTGGCAAATAAATTAACAGTGTATGTTTGGGAATAATTAAAAAAATAAATTTATGTAAAACTAACAAAATAAGTAATCGTTATTAATAACTTGATCCATACCTAAAATAAGTAAGTTTTATCTTCTACTAGAAACAAAAGAAAAAATAAACACAAAAACTTGATTAATCAATTTTACAATCATAAACTAAAGTATCCACAGCATAAGATTTTTTCATATATTAATCAATGATCGATTTAAAATTTAATCAAACATATTAATAATCTAAAATTCTATTATCTTTCCTAAATTATTATATTTAATCAGTTAATTAATAATGTAAAATATATTGCATTAAATATACCATGAAATTAAAACAACTTTTTTTTATTTGCTTCGTTTTTTTTNTGAAACCTATCTAAAACAATCACTCACTCACAATCAAGAACTCATATTGTAAAAAGAATGGGTTTTTGTATTTCTATTCAACAAGATATACATACAACACTATACGGGAGCCTAATCCCCCTCCACAGAACAAATGTTCCTGTCTATACTCAAATGAATACAAAAATCAATCATGCCCCATGTACAGAACACATTTATAAAGTTTCTCTTCCCCTTCCCACTAACTAACTAACTGTCAAAGAAATCTTCCCTCCTAACTGCCCTCTCATTTCCTCTTCCTTCTATCCTAAACCCATTATATTCTATCACCCTATATCCTATCAGTTTAAGATAATATATTATTTTCCTCCTACATATTTTATGTCTTATAATTATATTTTTTTCCTTTCAAAAATAAAAAGAGAGAAGACAAAGAGTGAGTTATCTGATCCTGGAGTATCATGGCTTGTATCAGGTTAAACAGCATTTTCTTTTGCAGAACTGTTTGATATAATTAAGTGATGACACAAAATATTTGCCCCACATCTTATTCAAGAGTTTCCCGTTTTAGCTTATGTTAGTATTAAGTGTAGTTGAATGTGGTAGAAAAATTAGTAAGAAGGATGTGTCATCTTTGGCTATAGTGTTTTAAGTTTTGAAGTATTAAAAGTAGTATTTTTTAACTTTGTGGCTGAAAGTAAATTGATTTTCAATTGCAGTGCATACTGGATTGTAATGGGTCTAGCTTCATGCAGTTTATGACTTTATTCCCTTTCAATCTTTAGGTTTTCCAAAGAGTTCTCAAAGCGTATGCTACAAAGCTCTTTGCTAGACTCCCAAAGGGGGGAACTGGAATTGTTGCAGCAGCCACAGGCATGGATGGACAAATAAAGGTATTTTCAAAGCAACTGGTTATGCATCATAGTGAGAAGTTGCATATTAATGCTGTCAAACAGCTTTCATCATGTGTGTGTTTTTATTCTCTGGAAATGTTTAACAGACATCTGATAGGGACGAAAGAGTGATTTGTTACATTGTAAATTCAGCAGAATATTGCCACAAAACGGTTGGTTTCTTTGACCTTTTTCATCCATTTGATAACGAGTAAATGCCTGAAGACTGATTTACTGACTTTTAGCTTTGTACTTGATAGGCTGGTGAACTGGCTGAAAGCGTGTCTAAAATAATTGACCCTCAATATGCAGAAGGGGTGGATATGTCTGAAGTGCAGGTATTAATACCTTCTCTCTTAGTAAGTGTTTTTTTTTCTACAGCTCTCATTCTAACGGAGATATATACAGGATGAGTTCTCAGCCGTTATAACAAAATCATTGGTGACCTTGGTGCATGGTCTGGAAACTAAATTTGACATTGAAATGGCTGCAATGACCCGAGTGCCTTGGGGTACCCTTGAGAGTGTTGGTGATCAATCAGAGTCAGTTGAATTCCTTGATAAAATATATCAAATGATTATATATTTTATGACAAAGTTAATTATTTTAACTGTACTATTGTCATGCAGGTATGTTAATGCTATAAATTCGATCTTAACCACTAGCATTCCTGCACTTGGAAGTCTTCTTTCACCCATCTACTTTCAGTTCTTCCTGGACAAGGTGATCTCTATAACACAGATTAAATACATGCAACTTTTGTTTCTTTATGTGAAAGCTCAGGACAGTTTCTCTTATAGCATAATATTTACAGTTTTATAATTAATCAAGTATATATTATTTTTTTTATAATATAATCTTTTCTTTTGAATTTACTGTTCTGTTATTTCATATTCATCTTCATTTGTTTCTGAAATATCTACTGAAGTTTATTCTTGATAATATCTCCTGATAGTTTGTTACTTCAAGCATCCCTAGTAAACACATGATGTGTTAGTTGAACGTTTTTTAATCTAATATTTTATTTTAATCTGCAGCTTGCATCATCTCTTGGTCCACGCTTTTATTCTAACATTTTCAAGTGCAAACAAATATCAGAAACTGGAGCTCAACAGGTACTGACTATTGTTTTAATTCTTTCATTTACGTGAGTGGTAAAGTCAAGGCATAGTTTTTGACAGGTTCTTATTTGAGAGCTGGTTTATGTTTTATGGATAAACAAATTTATTATGGAAGTACTATGCAGAGGACAAGGTATCTTCCAAAACCCAAAATTAAAATTAAAGAAAGGAACGAAGGACCTCTTAAATACCCTAATCAGATCCCTGTGATGAACCCTTTAAAATGTCCAACATAGAAGATGGTTATTAATTGCATGATGTCTCTGACTTTCTCTTTTGAAAGTTTTTAAATTGAACTTTCTTCATTCTTACTCTTAAATGATAATTTAATGAATTGAGCCATTTCTCTTGTCTATACCTGAAAAAGGTTTAGACTTTAGAGCCCATAATGTTCGCCCCCACCATAGTTTTTGGCAGGTAAAGTGTATAACCCAGAGTGTTCCTCTTTGTAAGGTACACCACAAACAAATGAACAAAAAGAGTACTACATTTGGCTGGGTTCTCCCCTGATCCTAGATTGTTCCTTTTGGGTGGAGTGCCCCACTGACTCAAGTTTTCATATATTCTCTGGATAAAGGACATACAATTATGCTAATGACTTAATTACATAATACACCTTAAAGGTACTTATCACCCAAATAAATCATAAATGAAAGATAAATCATATTTAGGTATATGGTCTTACTAAAATAAAAAGTTCCTTAAACTAGATTTCTTTTCAAAGATAAAATCCATAAAAATAAGAAATATATTAATATCTTAAATAACAACATGAATAACGCAATGACTCTTTTCTATTTTGTATCATGACTACAATTAAATATTTGATGTGGTAAGAAGAGCCCTTTGCTTCCTTTTGTAATCATAATAATCTAAGCTTCCAAGGAGCTCTTGCAACCCAATTTATGATGTTAATAAACTAACGAACTGATTTCTGCAGATGCTATTGGATACCCAAGCTGTTAAGACGATTCTTCTTGAAGTTCCTTCCCTTGGTAGACAGGTGATATAATTTGTATTTAATAGTTTCTACTGCTTAAATATAACTTGGTATGATGTTTGTACTGCAAGAAATATCACCATCATGATAACCTATGCTGTTCTGATGACCATTTGTCCCTCTCTCCTTGCTTACATTAATTTGACAACTCCATTTTCAAGTGTTTCTTTTCCGGGAATTTTCACTTTACTGTGCAAATGCTTCTTTTACAAGAAACTCAAAATATATTTCCAGCTCTAGGTTTGGGATGGACGATATTTATTGATCATAAAATTTCAAAGATAAAATACACATAAACCTGGACTAGAAATTGATATTTTAGAATCAAACCGAAGTGAATAGAAATTGATATTTCAGATTTTGTTGGATATCCATCTCTTTGAGTCAATGCTTAAAGAATCTACCTTCCCGTTGGTAGTAATGCTTAAATATCAATCAATACACGGTTTGTACTCTAATTTGCATTACAGTTCATTAAAATGAGAGGTGCTAGGATAGTGAGATAAGATTTGGTTGCCTAACTCGGAGACCAAGTAGGAAACAATAATAATCTGATTGATGTGACTTTCTTGACCAACCAGCTATTTTATGACGCATATGAGCTTTATTGCACTGCATTGACAAAACTATCTTCAAGTAGTCTAGAATCCATTGTCAAATAAGTTAATAGTGAAAATGACATTGTGTTTACATCTCTACTTATAAATTTGTTGCATGCTTGTCACTGGTTTATCTCCTTAGACTAACTATTTTCTTTTTTTTTGTGATAGACATCAGGTGCTGCTAGTTATTCCAAGTTTGTGAGCCGCGAGATGAGCAAAGCTGAGGCCCTTTTGAAGGTTTGTTGTGCGTTTATTAGTAAAATGTTATTATGTAAAAATAATTGTGTTTGGGTTATAGCTTATTTGGTGTTAAGACATCTAAAGGAGTTTATTAATAGAAAAATACTTCAACCTAAAACTCAATCAAAGCCAACAGTGAAATTAATTCCTTCTGACAAATTTGTATGAATGTCCGTGATCAGGTTATACTTTCTCCAGTTGATTCTGTAGCAGATACTTATCGTGCATTGCTACCTGAGGGTACACCCATGGAATTCCAACGCATCCTGGAGCTTAAGGTTATAATTAGCTTGTTCTATCGAAATCTCTGGTTGATTGATTGCTGGTTTTTGCATTATTTCTTTGTTCTAGACCTCTGTTTATGGAGATGAGGTCTGCCAAGGCTGCTCGTATAGAATATAGGAAATAAATTTATGATTATGTTCACGACTGATTCATTGTCAATTAATTATAGGAAATAAATTATTCAGTTCATTGTCAATGAGGCTTATTAATTCTAGCTGAACAGTCATAAGCAAATGTCATCCTCTAAGGATAGTAGCAGCAATGTTACATGGAAAATTTGAGAAGCTAACAAAGAAGCACTTAGAAGACTCAATTGGTGAAAATTAGTAATTTATCAAATCTGTCATTGGAGCAGATCAAGGATCTGTAATTCAATGGACATTAAATCTAAGGAAAGTAGTGCTATATTGCAAACTTGAGGAGCTTGCATGGAAACACTTGGAATATGTTCAAAATTATATGAAGGTACTGATATAATTGCTGAAGAATCGGACTGATGAGGAGCATGCATTGCATAAATTCAACTGAAAATATGTACAAAATAAACCAATATTTCAATTAACTATATTAGTTAATATTCAGTAATGGTTCATGCTTTGCTTATGGATTCTATCACATGAGGCAAATCATTTGGTTTTTCAGATCCAACTGAATGTATGATTTGTAATGTGTGGATGATTTGAGTTGTGTTTTCAGGGTCTGAAAAAAGCTGATCAACAAAGCATTCTTGATGACTTCAACAAACTTGGGCCTGGAATTAAGCAAACTCAGGTTGCACCTACAATTGTTCCAGCTGCTCCTCCAGTAGCTCCTGTAGTACCTAGCCCCTCTGCGGTTGGACTCATAGCATCGAGAGAGGATGTTCTAACTAGAGCTGCTGCACTTGGACGAGGAGCTGCCACCACTGGGTTCAAGCGGTTCCTAGCTCTAACAGAAGCTGCCAAAGACCGGAAAGATGGTCCTTTCAGAAAGCTCTTTAATCCATGATCAAGAGAGTGCTACAACCCCAATTTTTTGGCCGGTACCCTAAGCCTTTAGTGTTTTTTTTCTTCTCTTTCATTCTTTATGTAAGTTTAATATCATGTTCATCTCATTTCACTTGAACAACTGAAAGCTGATAATAAAGAGATCTGTCTACAAATTTGTATCATTTTTTCTGTAGCTCGTAAATGATTCTTCTTATCTGTTGCTTGTTACTGCCCCGATTACTTACTGTTCACACTATCATGGGCTGTTAAAATTGTCATGTCTGTTTGCTCCATTGTGAGACTGTTGAATTTTGTGTGATTGATCTTGAGATTTTTTCTAGAGCCTTGTGGACGATGTTGGGCTAAGAGGACAATGGAATACACCTGTTAGTAAATGAAATGTTAATCATGTAAACTGTGTTTTTTGAAATTAACTGAGACATTAGAAAAAAATCACAAGTTTTTAACTTAAGTCATACACTACTTCTATAAAATCAAATCAAATTTAGTTTTTAAAAAATCAATATAATCGAACACATCAAATAATTTATTTTCAATCAGATAAACTAATCAACTAGCCTATAAATTAATCACTTAAAAAAGGCTATAAAATACATATCGAATACATTACATATTACGTATTTAATGAATTTGTAGTAAAATATGATAATAAAATTTGAAAAACAATAACTTGATTTGATAAAATTTGTAAATAGTAATAGTTAAAGTAATAAGATAAAGCATCAAATAAATTTTGTTTTAGGTTGAAGTGCAACTTTACTGGATCAATAGCATAAATCTGGAGAGCTGGCCGCAAATTAATCTGCTAGATAAGAAAAGAAGCGACATAGAAAAGTCAAAAGTCCAAAGTCAATACCTTCTGACATAACCTATATTAACCTTCTAGATGTGGAAGATAAAGACGGAATCTGCAATCTCTTGTTATTTTGTATCATGTCTTTGATTTTTGTTGAATTAAAATCCTACTTACAAATACGTCACAAGTTTCCACGCGCTTTGTTATATTTCAGATCTATCGCCTATGCTCGCCTTACCTACATACCACGGAACTCACCCAACAGTTTAGCGCGTGACCTCGTTGACCGTTTGATGATGGCTCCAAATATTTTAAGCTCACAATATTTAAAGTCTATGTTTTACAAAGTCATCAAATTTTCATTTTAACTATTCAGGTGAGATATTTGATTCTCTAATAAAATAGGTTAAACCTATTTCAAATTAATTTATTTTAAAATATTTTGATTTATAAGTTAAGAATTATTTTCACTAGTTTGTAATTTTGTAGTCTACATTATTTTCCTATTCTGATACATTTTCCATCATTATTATTTTTATCTATTATTACACATAGTTATATATAATAAATGTTGTAAAAAATTCAACATAATAAAAAAATTAAAATTTTGGAAATACATAAAAATTAAAATTTATTAATACTTATTTGATCTACGAAATTAAATAAAATAAATTATTGAAAATAAATCATATGTTATTTTCAACAAATGAATAAAAACACTAAAAGAATATTTATAATTTAATTATATTTTAAAATATAAAACTATAATTACATGATAATATATTTTATCTAGAAAACACAATTGCATTTTTTTATCCCACTTTGTATTTATTAACTATTTTTACTGCATTTTATACTTTAATAAACTAATTTAGCAATTAAAAAGTTTTAAGTTAACAATTCATTAACTAAAAAATAATTTTTCTGTTACAAACTAGTATATCACCTACGAACTATTTTTATAGATATTTTCTAATTTATTTTAAAATTCAAATCCAACGTTCTATTTTAAATCAAAGTTACTCTAGTTGTTACCCACTTCCTTGGGTTTTATCAACAAAAATAGTGAAAGAGACCGAATAACTAATAAATAAACAACTTCTTAGAACTTTGGCTCCAAATACACCGAATCAATAGCTATTTAGGTTTTCTTTTTTTTTGGGAGTTGGCAAATAAATTAACAGTGTATGTTTGGGAATAATTAAAAAAATAAATTTATGTAAAACTAACAAAATAAGTAATCGTTATTAATAACTTGATCCATACCTAAAATAAGTAAGTTTTATCTTCTACTAGAAACAAAAGAAAAAATAAACACAAAAACTTGATTAATCAATTTTACAATCATAAACTAAAGTATCCACAGCATAAGATTTTTTCATATATTAATCAATGATCGATTTAAAATTTAATCAAACATATTAATAATCTAAAATTCTATTATCTTTCCTAAATTATTATATTTAATCAGTTAATTAATAATGTAAAATATATTGCATTAAATATACCATGAAATTAAAACAACTTTTTTTTATTTGCTTCGTTTTTTTTGCCAAAGCCACCATAACAACTTTTTCCTTCTCTCTTCCTTTCTTTCTGAAAATAATAATAATAAAATAAAGTTAGAAATATAAATATAATAAGACGAAGGTGCCTTATTTGAAGTTTGAAAATGAAACATCGGTGAATTCCAAACTTCTCTTTTTCTTGGCTTACGCGTTGAACTTCCTCCGTCCGCCTTCCGCCGTCCGCGGTGGTCGCCGACTCCCTCCGACGGCCAAGCTCTGCCGAGGTTAATCTAGGAACCTGTCGCTTACTCTCAGCTTGTTACTACAACACTCTCTGATTCTTTTTCTCCTTTTTCTTCCTCTTCTGGTAAGTTTCACAGTTTCCAAGGACATATATTTCTTTATAGTTTTTTTCTTTTTTGAAATTCTTAACGAAAAAGAACAAAACTGTTTCTTTCATTTATTGCGGACATTGAAGAGGGAGGCGCCTTGAAGTTTTAAATTTTTGCAATTTAATGAAGTGAATAAGTTAATTGGAGTTATGTTATGGTGGTTTGATGCTTAAAGGGAGTGGCTTAGTTAGTTCACTTAGAGCTATCTCTAGATTGGGAAAATTTGGCTTCAACACCTTGATCCTCTCAGGTGGTTAGAGAGGTGGGTGCAATTGCTTATTGCTTATTTGGTTATTGAATGTCTTCTTCAGGAGAAAAAAATTGTTTTGGGTTTTCATTTCAAATCAAAAGGGGCCCAGCTTTGGTGTTGAAATACTTAGGGATCTTCTTTTCTGTTGGGTGGCTCTTGGAATCGAAGGTAATTGAATTAGTGCTTAGGGCTCTTGTTGGTTGTGAGAGCAAATATCATCTATGTAAAACAAAGAGGGTCAGAGAAAGGAAAATAATGCTTTCAGGGCTGTTTGCAGTCGTTGATATTTTCTAACCAGTCCCCTATATTCAGACGCTTTTTTTCAGCTAGCATGCTTGGATTCTGTTTTTCTTAGGATATTATTTAGCTTCTGACTGGTATCACAAATTGCTTTATTTGGGTTAAATTCTGTGGCCCCTGCCTTTATATGCAGTATCTTACGCTCTAATAGTGTCAGATTTTTAATTGGATATAAATAGCGAGGCAGCTTTGCCATCTCTACATGATTTTTGACTGATTTAGTATTGTGCAATTTTTCTGCACATGGTATGAAAGGAAATTTATTAATATAAGTAACTCGTATAGCTTGCTTACACTGCTTTTGCTTCTGTTTGCCTTGTTATATCTACAAACAGGAGTATAGCCTACTATATATTTTTAAATTGACACTTCCAATTCTTTTCAAAGTCCTACATAATTCTTCAGCTGCATACAAATAGAAGTCGTGTTAATTATCTTTTTAAGCATCCTTGTTTTAATTCTTCACCTGCATACAAATACAATGTGATTGTTAATGGTAGTGATTCGGGTAGATAATTTCTGCTCTTGGTTTATAAATAGATTTTGCTTATGCCATATGATTGTTCTTACTTGATTTAAGTATTTAGGGCATTCACTTTGAATTTTTAATTAATCTCAGCTTCATCCTTGTGTTGTGCTTTTGTTTCTAGTCATCTGGCATCACAATGATGACACCAGAATCATCAAAGGAGTTGGAAAAGCATGCAATCTCAAGTCATCATGTGAGGGGGAATAGTGAATATGTTAGACTTGCCATTTCTGATGAACCAAGGGCTGTCGAAAATGAAATACTACAGCCTGTAGCAGTATCGAGATTTAAATCTTTCAGGTGGTGGGTGAAAGCCTTTTTCTGGTGCTTTGTCATTGTTGTACTTACTCTTGTTATAGTGAAATGGGGAGTGCCATTTACTTTCGAAAAGGTACTTCCTCTCGCTTTACAATTGTTCTGGTAACCAGAATTTCTTTTCTTAATATGCGTTATCTGGGGATGTGAGCTTTACAATTCCTATTCAGAAATTAATCTATAATATGTTTTTTGACTCATGGATTTATTTTATATTGATAATTATGTCATTTCTGTGCACCTTCGGTCTCCTATTTTTGTCAACCAAAATGTTTTATATGACAATAATATTTGAAGATTGGCATTTTCCTTGGCATCCCACATGGCAGCTTTATGTATTTGGGTACTGTTGCCAATTAGATTAATAGAACTACAAGTTTTTATGCTCTTTCATTCTTCACAAATGTTATACGGCATCAGTTTGCGGTTGACTATGTTTCTATCCAACGAGATGAGAAAATATTAGAGGAGTTCAATCAATATAGTAGCTCATGTTGTGAATGCTAATGTGACAATTTATATGACTAGAAAGAACAAAGCAGCTTTCTGCCCTTGCTGTGTTAGGAAACTCTGCTTCCTCGTCCCTCCCTTTGTTTCTTTAAACCTAGTTTGCAGTCTTTTTATAGACCATATGAGTATCATATCATAAATGTCTTATGGTTATAAACTTAGAAGTGGTTTGGGAATTGCATCCATATTGATATTTTTGGTTTTGCCTTTGAACAAGCTTAGACTCAATATTTTAATTCTTGTGGAATAGCTTGCACTCATCATGGTTGCTGTTAATTCATATTTTGAACCCAGGTCTTACTAAATTTTCTGTTGTAGATAATTTACCCAATCATGGAGTGGGAAGCGACCGCTTTTGGCCGTCCAGTTCTTGCCCTTGTACTTGTTGCTTCTCTGGCTTTATTCCCAGTATTTTTTATCCCTTCTGGCCCTTCCATGTGGTTGGCTGGGATGATTTTTGGTTATGGCCTTGGCTTTGTTATAATAATGGTTGGCACAACCATAGGGATGGTCCTCCCTTACTTAATTGGACTAGTTTTCCGTGACCGTATTCATGTAAGT